TGTGACTTTTCTAGAGAATCATTATACATAGTTATTTTATACAGGGTTTCCACAGTCTTACATAATTTCAGAATTCACTGACTTTTAACAGGATTAGTTTCCCCTGATAAAAGAAATGCAGCAACAAGACAATAATAATAATAACATAACAGGTCACCAGTTTAACATGTTTATCTCTATAACATTTAAATGCACCTCTCCAATGTCTAAGAGAAAAAAATGTAATGAACATTTTTTAATGTATGACCTGCATCACTGTACAGAAGACTGCCATATGATAGCCATATTTACACTATGCGCATGGCATACAATTATGCCAATTTTCCTAATCCCTGACAAATAATTTTTAATCTAGGGTTATCTGGGTGGTGGGTGAAATTGGTGGAGGGTAAAATAGGTGGTGGGTGTGTTACTGCCTGCAAAGTAAAAAAAAAATGTCTGATTCACGCCAATTCCCCGACAAAAATCACGCCATGGCGGAAAATCACACGGGTTTTTCAAATCACGCGGCTCATCCAAATCACGCGAGAATTTGTACAAAACAACAAAAATGGCGCCGGCAACGCTTCTGGGTCATTTTCATCGAATGTCGGTGATTTTAAAGTAATTTTGAGTGATAAATAATTTTTTTTTTGTCCTTTGTCTTTTTTGGTTTTTATTGTCGGGAGAGTACAAATTTCAGCGGGCAAGTGCAATGAAATTTGTACTCTCCCGACAATAAATGACTACTTGCCCCGGGCGATCGGGGCAATGGTTAACATCGAGCCCTGGGATGAAAAGTAAGGAAAGAGATAGAGAAAGGAAAGAATGAATAAAAAAACAGAAAATAAAACTGCAAAAATAGACACAGATCTGCAGTAACTCCTAAAAGTCTGCCTCCACACCTGGATGAGAAAAGAAGGACAGAAAACATAAAAATAAATCAACAAAGCAAAGATCAGAAGGCTTCCAGAGCAGCAGGTATCCCTTAGAAATCCCAAAATAAACCAACAGACAACTTTTAGCTTTTATTCTAACAATGTTGTTTCCTTTATTCTGTGGATTCTGTTGTTTTTTCTCCAGACACTTATTGCCGTTTAAATTATGCTGCTCTTGACAGCTGACAGTTACCATGGCGACCAGTGGCCTGTAAAGCAGCATCAGCGTTGAGGGCTAATTCATTGCTTTCCTCTGCGGTGTCTCCAGGTTCTGCGTGTTTTGTGGGGTTATTGTTGTGTATTTTAAAAGGACTACAGTCATCTGGGAGCCGCTGCTCTGTTTTTATTATTTTTAACAGGATTAAAGACGACCACCAGTTAAATGGTGTGAGAGTTCATGCAGTGACCTGCTGGACCTCAGCCAGTGAACACCTTCCCCTCTTCCTCTAATAAAGTTGTTTTCTACCAAGTCTGCTGTTTAGAAAGCGTGTTTAATCTGTGTGCGTTATAAAAATGACTCATCTGAATCTTTTCTCATTAAAGATAGACTCCTAGATTTATCTTTAAGCTGCGTTTCCACCGTCCTCACAGCCTTCACCAGCCACCATGACTTTGTTGATCTGCTCCTGAATGTTAGTATCATAGCAGCGCAGAGTTTCTTCTGGGATTATTTTTTACTGTCTTTGATGAAATGGAACATAGATTAGAACGGTTCATTCTCAAATAATCTGACTGTGTGAATCCACGGTGCAGACGTCTGGTTTAACCAGACAGAAATCAGAGAGCTGTTTGCTAATCAGCTCGTTATCTTAGTGAAACACTTCAAGGAATAAGAGACCTAATTAAAAACCATATGTTCATGATTAGGGTGGAATTAATCAGATTAATCAATTATTAAAATAATCGTCAACTAATTTGGTAATCAATTATTCGTTATCTGGTGTATAGAGTCTGTAAAACATGCCTTAAGCTGACGGAGCGACCCGCTTAGAGCAGGAATTCTATTAAAAATTGGAAGAAAATATGTAAACATTTTGCATTTAAGATGAAAAGAGTTTTTCGTCTGTCAAGCTGCTCTATCCAGAACTCCTCAAGTGGAAAAGTTTTAGTTTCACCTGGTTTCATTTTGTAAAAAGGAACCTTTGGCTATCCGATTATTAATTGATTAATTAAAAAAATTATTGACGGATCAATGAATAAGCAGCAGCTCTACACGTGATATTTCTATCCTTATCTGTAATCTGCTCTGACCACAGACTGGAGCGTTGATCACGGTTCCATCAGTGGAGCTAACGGCTCTGTGTCGCTGTGCTCAGCCTCCTCAGGTCATGTCATCAGGGAGAAGTGCTAATGGGAGGGAAGTGCAGATCCCCCTGCAGCAGGTGGCGCCTTCACTCGTCGCTCCGCTCTCCTCCAGCCTCGCCATCACGCCACCGTCCCACCGCTCAGCCAATCCCTGGATTCCATGCGAGCAAAGTAAATCTCTGAACAATCTCTCCATGCTCCACCGCTGCTGGGTTTTTAGTTTTTAACGTGTTTTCCTTTGGCTTGGCCCAGCTGCTCCTGCAGGCTTCCAGCCTCTCCATGGGGGATTCAGGGATCACTTCGTGGAGAAGCCAGAGGCCAAATACTGCTGCGAGGCGTGCAGGCGGGTCCTGTGTGAGCCCCGCCAGACTGAGTGTGGACACCGCTTCTGTCAGAGCTGCATCAGCGACATCCTCAGGTGAGCCTGACGTTCCTCCGGTGGACCTGATCCGCTCTCTGCTGACATCCAGCAGCCTGTTAGTCCTGCTCTCACTCCGCACACCTGAATGAAGCTAATCAGACTTAATCAGGTGCTAAGGGATTCATTCAGGACTATCCGGTCTCGTCGACACTTGGAGAGATTGTTAGACAGCAGCTGCTGGCCTGTTACCTCCCTCAATCTGCTGCGTCCTAACGCTGTCCTCTGTCCTCCTGCAGTCACCCGAACCCGGTGTGTCCCGCCGACATGGAGCCTCTGTTCAAAGACAAGGTGAGCAGCCCAGCAGGGCCGTGCTGTCCCGGTTGGTGAGCGGGTCTGGGTAACTTCTGCTTTTTCCTTGGTTCCTCTCAGATCTTTAGAGACGTATGTTGTCATCGAGAGATTATGGCGCTGAAAGTCTACTGTCGGAGTAAAGCTAATGGCTGCCAGGAGCAAATGAGTCTGCAGCAGATTCCTGTGAGTCTTTCAGTCCCAGCATCCCTCCCCCAGAAGGACCAGCATGCATAGCTCTCACCGCCTGTGCCTCCTCTGTCTGCAGGACCACCTGAATGTGTGTCCGTTCTTCGAGGTCCCCTGTCCGCTGGGGAAATGCAAGGAGAGGGTGATGAGGAAGGAGATACCTGAGCACCTGGCCTGGAAGTGTAAACACAGAGAGAGCACCTGTGAGTTCTGCGGGACCAAGATGCCTCTGACGGACCTCCCGGTAAGACGCCTGGGTCAGAGCTTTGTAGAACCTGCAGTCATTAATGTAAATATCCCAGTGGACCATGTGTCTTTAGTCGTTCCCGTCTAGGGCTGAACCATGATTCAGAATAATGAAACAATCCAGGGGTTAACAGAAAAATATCACAGTCATGACTCTATATTCTTCAGCAGGAGAAATCTATATAGAGTAAAACGTTTTCCATTTATGGTTAAAAATCTTTTTGAAGAGGCATGGGAGTTTTCTAACGATGCTGCCACCTGTGGCCAAAACACAGAACTGCAGCTGTCTGCTGCTTGTTCTCGTTTATTTTCTCACTTTTTTTTTCCTTACGTGTAGTTTTTCCATTGGTGTCTTGAACTGACATGGATTAAAGTGTCCTAGGTTAAAGTATCCTGGATTAAACTGTCCTGAATTAAACTGTCCTGAATTAAACTGTCCTGAATTAAACTGTCCTGAATTAAACTGTCCTGGGTTAAACTGTCCTGGGTTAAACTGTCCTGGATTAAACTGTCCTGGGTTAAACTCTCCTGAAATAAACTCTCCTGAAATAAACTGCCCTGAAATAAAC